ACTGATACTTATATTTTTAAATTAGGAATAACTTAAGTAAATTCCTTTTTCTTGTTTATTCCTTATTGAAAGTTATCATTTTATTTGAGCATAACTTAAGCAAACGTCAACAAGATTATTCCTTTTTACAAGTGTACGTATTTGACTACTAAAAACACTGGTAAAATTACGATTTAGGAACGCACTTTTAGAAAAAAAACTTTTGCAATATAACAAAATGGCGGAAAGTTTTAGTACTATTCTATTTTTGTTGTTATATTTACCTTACTTTCAAAAAAAAAATGTTCAAAAATATTTTACTAACAACTTAATAAGGTAGGCAAATACGGAAAAATGCAGTTATGTTATTAATGCAAGAATGAAAAAATATCAAAATAGAATTACACTGGAGGGTTCCTGTTTAATACCCTGCTGAAGGCAGAACAGGTTAGAAAAGGTTTCTATAAGCAACCAAATCTAACTTTTTACAGCACTGCCATTTTATAATTTATTTATCATTGTTACTATTAGACGATCAATATTAAATCATAAATAAATAGCGCCACCTATTCGTCAACAATATACTGTTTACAATACAACGCCATCTACTGGTAAGTACGGCTAATGAGTGGATACCCTGCCTGCAGAGTTGTTCCCCGAGCTATAACTCGGACTTTTTCAAGGCGAGAGTGAATAGGCATTATTTAGGAGTGCATGCTACATCGTCGACCTCGTCGGCTATTTCTACCAGGTGAAATGGAGGTCAAATGCACACTTTTTGCTTATTAAAAAAAGGTTAAGTATTTAATAGTTACTGGTGCATTATATTAATAATTATTATAATATGTTTGAATAAGCTTTAGATTGGTTTTGGTAGATGAGGCTAATGGCACACATCGCCTTTTAAATTTAATCGATTCGATACAACCTCAAACGGCTTTGGTTGATGCCGCATAGCAGTAACAATTTTGAATTAATAACTTTGGAAAAAATGTGTAATAAAACTGCTATTTTGCACTGATTACTTATACGGTGTGAAAACACGATTCCTAAAACTTGTCACGATAGAAAAAAAAACAAATTTACCGTGAAATTCGTCACTGAGATTCACACGACCGTGTTTGCATTCTGCAAAGTCGTAAAAAATCATACTATGAAAATGTTCACGAGTTAAATTCATGGTGATGTAGACAACCAATTTCTAAAATGACGCCACAATGTAAAAGCAAGTGACGGTCAGATGAAACAAACTGTATTCTACAGCCAAAGGGTTCCATTTGCAAATGTTCTAATTTTTTAAATATTGTTTATGTAAGTGGTTAGCTCCAGAAAATTATAGTGCCCAGTATAAATTTCTTAAAACTTTCTTTATAGCGGAATCTGACCTTAAGCTCCGGTCGTCATCATCAGTCAGCATTGAAGACGCGAAGTCCGCTCATCACCAGTCACATTTGAAGCTAGCGAAGTGGATGAACAAAGCTGATCAACTGCTGCAGAAGCCAGAGCATACTCTTGTCAATGTCAGCTCGCCCAGCTTTGCACACCATTTGGTAAGAACCACTTTCATGATTGCCCTAGTTATTTTGTAAAGTTCCCAACTCGAAGGATACAGCTTCTTAAATAAGAGTTCGTCCAGGAAAATACTGCCACCTTTTCTACTTCGTTCTGGTTTTCAAAGGCAAGACACATGGAACTTTTTAACGTATGTCTGAGGGTGACGACGCAGTGGCAGTTGCTTTCAAATCTTTGCGATTTAAAGCTATAAGTGGCATTGCAACTGTTATGGACAGGCGTTTCGCTTACCACCAGACACAGGACTTGTTCGTCTCGTAGCTTAAAAAAATCTATCTATTTAATTTTGCGAAATCCATGTTTATTTGATAATCTTGATTCTCTTATATTTATTAACAACTACCGACTGTTTGGAAATAGTTTATTGTCGCTTTGCAGTCATTAGTCACGCATGACAAGCGTGCAGAGGAGCTGGGTCGCGGCGGTCTACTCAATCTTTTCGCTGCACAACAGCTAAAGGCACGACAGGCCGTTTCCGACGACGAGCTGGCTTTGGATCTAACTGATCACACTGAGGGTAAGATGTTTAAATTACGTCAAGGATGTTAATATAGTCTTGATCATTTTGGGAATTACGAAAGCATTTATGACAGCATACTACACGGTGTTGTCCAGGTCCATTTTGCCCCCCACCACCGCGCTGTCCCAGTCCACAAAGCCGGTACCGAAACATAGGCGGCGAATGCAACAACCCTGCCTTTTCCACATGGGGCGCTGTCAACACCGGGTTTGAAAGGCTCCTACCTCCTGATTACAGTGATGGTAAGAAAACCATTTAAATAAGTCGTATTTTCGTCCAAACCATAGCTTAGTAGCAATAGAGTTCCTTGTGAAAGAGCTCGTTCAGGGAAGTACTGCTACCTTACCTATTTCTGCTGTCAAGCAGTAATGTGGGCAATAGTGAGCCTTCCGGTTTTGAAGGGTAAGGACGCTGGTGAAATTATAGGCATATGGGACTTGTCAACTTACGATCCTCTAACTCCTCATATCTTTGTGATTCAAAGCACTAAGTGGCACTGCAACTGTTATGTACAGGCATGTCGCTGTCCACCATCATTATAAAATAGTTACGTATCCCCAGTTTGACATTACTCTATTTTTACCTGCATATCATTTAAGAGTGATGGTAGCCCATGAAAGAGAAGTTGCTTCTCTATTAATGGCCTTATTCAGAGTGGCGGCAGATGCGGGTGTGGGCGCGGGTGAGTGTAAATAAAATGTTCGTAGACGCTCCTTGTCGACTCATCCGTAGAACAAAGGCCTATGTGCAAGACTTATTATTCAAAAATTCAAAATTCAAAATAATCTTTATTTCATAGGTAAGCAGTATTACACTTGAAATCGTCACAATGGTTAAACTCTACCGCTCATTCGTAAGGCAGATTCCCCTGAGAAGAATGAGCAAGAAACTCTAGGGGTTGCTCTTTGTAAATAACATTTGTAAACATTCAACATTTACAATATTTATTTTTTTTATTTGAAACATCAGACATCGAGACTATCTCCATGAGCTAAACGGGTTACTACCACGGATTTTTGTCATCCAAGTACGCAGAAGTTGTATATTAACCTTTGGTATAAAGTTTTTGTTTCACTATACTAAACCTCGTGAAAGGCATATTTTGTATATCAACCGGAATCTTGTTATTGAAGCGTATACATTGCCCCTTAAATGATTTATTGACTTTGTGAAGACGACTATCAAGAAAAGCTAGTTTATTTTTCTTCCTCGTATTAATGTTATGTCTGTCACTATTTTTCATAAAGAAATTACTATTCTTTTTAACATAAATTACATTTTCATAAATGTACTGTGAGGCTAGTATATCTAAGAATGTTAATTTCCTTAAACTTATCTCTCAAAGATACTTTGGGGCCCAGATTGTAAATTGCCCTAACTGCACGTTTCTGCAGGACAAAGATTCTATTGATATCGGCGGCATTACCCCAAAGCAAAATGCCGTATGTTATTAGACTGTGAAAGTAGCTGAAGTAAACCAATTTAGCGGTTTCGACGTCTGAAAGTTTCCTTATTTTTTTAATTGCGTACACTGCAGAGCCGAGCCGTTATGATAACTTACTTATATGGGGACCCCATTGCAATTTAGCATCTAACGTTATACCTAGAAATACAACTGTATCCACAAGAATCATGTTTTCGTTTCTAACTACAATGTTTGTAACCGTCTCTCTAACATTGGGTAATGTAAATTTCACACAATTTGTTTTTTTCTCATTAAGGAGTAGGTTAACAGCAAACCAATCAACTATCAATATTCTTAGGACAGTGCACAATTAGTTAGTTGTTCTTCTGTGGATACCAGATCAACCGTTATTCGATTTTATATTTCCGAAACGAAATAAGATACAAAAATTCTGAAAACCCCGATATCGATATGTCTTAGTTTGAATAACGCGATTATGTGTTTGTCCTATTTTCACTGTATAATCACGTCGCACTCTGTTCTTTGGAAGAGTCGTATTCACAGAGGTCTATACCAGTCCGCCTATACGTTTCACAGTGCTTGGTTTAGCATATGTTTGCGATTACGACGTGTGGATATACCCCCTCGTAGCCGATTCGGCACTGTGAAAGAGAAGACGCCAAATCATCCGCCGTCACGCCCGCGCCTGCACTCTGAATGAGCCCAAAGGATGGCCCATTCGAATCCTTGTGGTGGCGTTCATCCATTAATTTTTCTAAATTGTGTATACTGGGAAAGTTTTGTATTGCACAAACTGTCGCTAATGGTGAACGAAAATGTATGCCAAAGATGGTTGACAAACGTTGGAAAATATGTGAAGCCCCGAAGTTGCATTCGGTCAGCGTAGCAAACTAAGACCTCAGCCCCCTAGTGGATACACATGCCTAGGAGAGGGACGTATATGGGGTCAATGATGATGATCATTGTACTGGGTTAAAATTTTAAGAATAATTTATAGATTGCTACGAAATTAGTAACAATCTGATACTTTGGTTTCATAATTTGCAGGTATATGGGCTATAAAAGCTTCCACCTCAGGGCTCCCACTGCCGTCGCCCCGTTGGATCAGTAACTCTTTGATTCTGGAGGGCAACTTCCCCAGCATCTCCCACAGCCTCATGTTCATGCAGTTTGGACAGTTTATCGCCCACGATATTAGCGCAGGCGTGGTTTTTACTATTGGTAAGCTGTTTAATCAACTTGATTCAAAGAATTAACACAGTTAAGTGACAAGTTGAGCAGGTTATATGACTCGCAGAACTGACAACTGAGGGGTAAGAAGGCTGATATTAGTGTAGTGTAGTGTAGGGAACTAAAAGGTGAAGAGCACGACGACCTAGGCTAATGACCCGACGAACGAAATCATCGATTGTAAGTCTAACTAGTTATATGATCTTCGTTGTCCACTAGAAATTAGGTTTTTTAAGTGCGCATTTGACCTTCATCTCATATGATGAACAGTGGTGGTAAGGTCAACGATGGAACTAACAAACCTAAATAATGCCTATTCACTCTCTACACTTCGTGCGAATCCTTGGAATGTCTACAATATAGAGGTGGAACCCCAGCCTACGTCTACTCCCCCGATGATGAAAAGGAGATTAGTTGCGATATGTCGTTATGAGAATCAAGTTATCCTATAACTAATCGTGGTTTTAGGCAACGGCAGCGCAATATCCTGCTGCTCTAACGAAGGCGAAGGGTTCCTCCCTCCAGAGCTGCAGCATTGGGCTTGTGCACCCATCTCAGCAGACCCTAAAGACGCTTTTTATGGACAGTTTGGACACAAGTGCCTCAACTTTGTTAGAACTCAAATTGCGCCTGCCAGTGATTGCTCAGTTGGATATGCCAAACAGGTATGTAGATTTGCTTCGCGATTTCTTGTTCTACGTAATTCTTTTAGTTAGTTATTGGTGCAAGACTGTTAAGCCAAAAAACGAAATTTTCTATGTTCAAACCCATGATCAAGGCAAAGGTCCCTTCAGAATATATAACTACCGTCATTGCATAGTTAAAATATCGCGCTTTATATTCTCATTACAGTTTTTTGCATGTGTTCTAACGTTACCTTTTTATACTAAAGTACCACCACGGTAAGTAATGTGGTAACAATAATAGGATAGATCTGATTCCCTCGCAAAATTTTAAAGATTTAAGTCCAGGTAAATACAGACTACAGATAGAAGTCCGAATCCTGATTCGGACATAGGAATGCACTTTTCTGTCTAATTTCGATTATCTCTTCGGGACAACCTTGAGATAAAGTATTAGAAGCCGCAAAGGGGTGAAATTAAAGAATATATTTTAATAATAATTTCACTTTTTTATAAAAACAAGCACTTGTACATCCTTTGCAGTTACTTTGCTACGTAACGTACTTTTTAAATTCTTTACTGACAGTGCAAATATTCTAGATGAACGGTGCTACCCATTTCCCGGATCTCTCCCACCTATACGGCAGCACTGAAGAAAAGTCAAAGGCATTAAGAGCTCCAGGAGGCTTGCTGAAAGCCTTCAATGATTATGGAAGAGAACTGCCTCCGCTGACGTCAAGAGAGGAGTGTCTTGCTGTGAAGGAAGGAGCTGCTTGTTTTGATTCTGGTAATTACTTTAGCCAGTGGTGTTTCAGTAAGTGCTGTAATGTTTGACGGTTGCCAGTCAAACTGTTCTTGAAGTAAGAAAAAAATGTTCACAGAACCTGAGTTGCCGCCGATTTTAATACAGGACACCTGTAACGGCACAGCAGCTTAGAATTGGACTGTTTTATACGCTCGAGCAGTTTGTTGTATATTTTTATTGATAATTTTAATTTTGATTATTTTCGTATCTTGTTGGGTATTCTTGCACTTGCAGAGAGTTACATTTACGTGGGGTGCACTATAAGTTTCCGAAATGAATAAGAAAAAAATACTATAAATGGTCAGAAATGAATTTATTGTTTCTCAAAATATTCTCGGTTAGCGTTAATGCCAAACAAAACATGCCACTCCTCCGTGACAATCTCTGAAACATATTTTTCATACTCTTCGACAGCCTCTTCAGGTAATGAAAATTTGTGACCGCGTGACTGGGTCACATATTTTTTGGAAATAAATAAAAGTCATAAGGTGTCAACCACAGAGCACATAGTGGTGTCAACGTTGTTCACCTTCATAAATTCATTTGTCTGTCTGGCCGTATGAGAACTTTCATTATCCCGGTGCAAGATTATACGGTGTTTACGGTTATTTTTACGGAGTTTCTCAATAACGTCCGACAAACAAATGATCGTATACCGATCACTATTCACGGTACAACGATTCTCCAAAGCAACAGTGTCACAAGCCACGTGTCCAGTTTTATTCAAAAAAGAAGCAATCATTCGCTTAGAGGCACTTTGAACGTGCGCCGCTTTGGTTGGTTTCGGCTCATCTCGAAAGACCCATACGCTCGATTGCTGCTTTGTTTTGGGATCGTGACTATAAATCCATGTTTCGTCACCTGTTACTATATCCCACACCAAATTTGACGCCCCTTCGTTGAATCTGGTAAGCATGGCATTGCACCAAGTGACGCGATCCGTTTTTTGAGCCTCAGTCAAATTGTGTGGGATCTACCGAGAGCACAGCTTTTTCACACCCAAATGTTTGTGTAGTATTGATTGTATTTGATACCCGAATCTCATGGTATGTCATATGCTTGTCTGTTTTGATCATACGGCGCACAGCATCGATATTTTTGTTGTTCACAGCAGTGAACGGGCAACCATCACGAAATTCGTCACTGAGATTCACACGACCGCGTTTGAATTCTACAAACCAGCTATAAATAGTCGTCTTACATGGTGCTTCATCGCCAAAAGCAGTTTGAAGCCTAGCGAAGCTCCGCTGAGCCGTTAAATTACACTTAAAGTCGTAGAAAATTATACTATGAAAATTTTCACGAGTTAAATTCATGGTGATGTAGACAACCAATTTCTAAAATGACGCCACAATGTAAAAACAAGTGACAGTCAGATGGAACAAATGTGTGATTCTACAGCCAAAGAGTTCCAGTTTCAAATGTTGTAATTACTTTTTAAATATTGTTTATATAAGTGGATAGTTCCGGAAACTTATAGTGCGACCTATGTATAAAAATTCATGTTAAGAAGAGACGCTTTCGTAACAAATAACGCTAGACGTAATGTTAAAACTATGAACAAAAATAACTAGCCAGTTCATGAAAAACGTCTTCACAAAGTTACAAATAAGCTTCTACATATAATAAGAGTCCTGTTGATATTTAAATTTCGTCACAAGTTTTAAAATTGTCGTTAAACAAAACCGTTACGCAAAATTGTTACAAGGTATAATGGTCCGTTTAAGGCCTTCAAATTGTTTTCTTCAAATAAATATTGTAAATATGACACAATATTTAGTTACAAAATGCAACTCCCAGAGTTTCTTAATTATTATTCTCAGTGTGATCTGGCTTACGAATAAGTTAATTTTAGTAACAGTAGAGTTTCTTGTGAAAGAGTTCGTCCAAGGAAGTACTGCCACCTTACCTATTTCTGCCGCCAAGCAGTAATGCGAGCATTACTGCGTTCCGGTTTGAAAGGGTGTGCGCGGCCGACGCGCGTTTCAGAGTAGCAGGGTTCATATAAACTCGTACATTACAAATATTCCCGCACCCGAACGCTTCCGAGGCCATCTCTGTATGACCAGACCATAAGGGTGCTGGTGAATTTACAGGCACATAGGTCTTGTCAACTTACGTCTCAGGATGACGGGCGTAGTAGCAGTGCCCCTAAGATCTTTGCGATTTAAAGCTCTAAATGGCACTGGAACTGTTATGGATAGTCGCGGCGCTTATCACAAGGTGCAAGACCTGTTTGTCACTGGGTATAAAAAAGTAGTCAATTGGAAGATTTTGAGTGTTTTTTCTGAGCTATGAAAGACAGATAATTGGACTTAGCAGATTAGCAGGTGTAATTTATCCAAATAATTTGTCAATCAAACACAGTTATATGAATCTCATTGCATGTCACAATGGTTGGCTGCCAAGATATTCAATTTCTTTTTTAAATTACTTAACTAGTTTGGTCAATCTCGAACAATCTTTCGACCCGCCTGGATATGCACCAGCGACTTCAGCATACCAGGACGATCAAACCGGGTCGAATTCTTCTTAGTATTCGATTTTTGTATTAATATTATAAAAAAACACGTTACTTTTTATGATATTCTATAATGTTCGTTGTATAAATGGATGAGACTTATAAAACGACTGTTCATATCCTTTGTCAGGAGACAACCACGGCAACCAAATCATCTCACTAACAGTCCTGCATACACTGTGGACTCGAGAACACAACCGCATTGCACGCGCTTTGGCTCGAATCAATCCAAATTGGAACGAAGAGACTGTCTTCTGGGAGGCCAGAAGGATAGTACAGGCAGAGTTCCAGCACATTATTTACAATGAATGGCTACCATTATTATTGGGTAATTATAATCTGTTCAGTCCTTTTTTTTCGGATATTTATGGATGCGTGACATTGTGAACGCTATTGTTATTATAATGATTTTAACTAAGGAATTCAGATCAATGACACACAGTAAATACATTTTCTTTGTCCCAGGTCCCCGACTAATCCAGCTGTTTACCCTGGCTCCATCTCTCGGTTACTCTACGGCGTATGATCCTCACGTTAACCCATCGCTCACTGCAGAGTTCTCCACAGCCGCCATGCGATTCGGACATTCCCTTGTCGATGGGAAGATCACGTAAGCAAATTGCGTCTAAGGTTCAGAAGTAAACCCCTCAAGTTGTCGTAAACGTTGAGTTCACTAACATAATATGATAAACAAACCTAATTTTGAAAACCAATACAAAAATCTGCAACAAGCACGTAGAAAAATGCGTTTCGTGATATAGCGTCTAGCACGTTTTGCTAGAAGACGTTGGTTCAAATCCAGCTGAATAGAAGGGATTTTGGAGGAAGTAAAATAAAAGAAATATTATAACAAACCTAATTTTTTAGTTATAACAAACACATAGCCTCTGTGCTTCATTTGGGGCCTGTTGGGTTGTCGAGAACAAGGCCAACTAGTCAAGAAGTTTTCATTATTAACCTCTGTTCTTTAGGGTTCCCAATGCAAAGACAGGTGACGTATACGAGACTATATCCATTCCCGAAGTGATGTTCCAGCCGTCGAGGTTACGGCTGAGACATTTCCTGGACCGTATACTCACTGGGTTGGCTTGGCAGCCTATGCAGAGCGTTGATCCCTTTGTTACAGAAGGAGTAAGTATTATTTTTAACTTCGAACTGAATTCGAACCGACGTCTTCTAGCCAGGGCTTGGTAGCTATAAAGTTACGTAACTGGGTTACGAAATACTTTCATAGATTTCTCATAGATGGCGCTACGGCTAAAAAGTCGTTGAAACCGAACACAAAGATCCGACAAACAAGCACATAGAAAAATTCGTAAGGTCCGTTACTTCGTTCCGTGGCTTAATTGGCATGGCGTCTGCCACGGTTTGCTAGAAGACGTCGGTTCGAATCCAGCCGGATCGAAAGAATTTTTGTATTAATATATTAACAAACTAATGGAATAATTTCAATGTCAAGTCAATACAAATTTAGTATTTAATTAGTTAAGAGTTCAAAAATTACGTTACACTTTTAACAAAGTACAATATGACGACTAGTGTATCTCTAGTTTGTATATATTCCCATAACCTAGATACTATCTACTAATACTAGATACGAAATACTAATTCCTGTTTCTGATAAGAAAAATCAATATTTAGGTGCTACACGTGATATTGGAACTCTGGGTATATGGTGAAGTCTCAGCACTTAAGAGACCAACGGACTTTCACAAGACACCTCGCCTTTCTTACGCGGGATATTTCCTTATGTCCGTATGAATTGCGTTTGGGGGTTTTTAATTTTCATTGCGAGATCGCCGTAGGTGCATGATACGAGGAATTGCTTCCTCGTATTTCGCTTTCGGTTCCGTATACTTAACCCAGGAAGCTCTTTGGTTCGGTTGTTCTATCTACCGGTTTGTAGAACTAATGAATGTTGTGTCTCGTGTTTGCTGCATCTAGACATATTTTTTTTAGTTCCTAGCAAAGTACAAATTTGCCTTTTAAAATACATGCTATAAATAAATATTTGCTTGGCGGCAGAATTACGTAAGGTTTTCACAAGGAGTTCTACTACAACTTAAAAAAATATTTTTATTAATTTTTTTGTTCAAATTTGTGTATTTTGCATGTCAAATAAAGCCGATTTTATTTCTTTTTTATTAATTTTATTTTATGATTTCGCAGCTAACCCGTTACTTGTTTCACGGCGGCAACCCGTTCGGTATAGACTTGGCCTCAATTAACATACAGCGCAGCCGGGATTGGGGTGTTCGCTCGTATAACGAATACCGTCGACTCAGTGGTGTGCAGCCTTACTTGGACTTTGAACAATTTAGCCCAAATGTATGTCAAATACTAATATTTAATTGTTTTATAATACTAAGTGACGTATGATGACTGATGCAGTTTATTGTGTAATACTAAGTGACGTATGATTACGTTTCAGTATGATGCAGTTTATTGGGTAGTTAATGTATTACAAAGGTCTGCGATAAGAAGTTTCTCTGAGCTAGCTGTAGTATTTTTTGTGCTGGTTAAAAAGTCCATATGAAATTTACACTTTTAAAGTTTTTCTTACATTCAAACAAACTATGTTATTCAGTATTTTAACTCTATATTAAATATCAATTATTTATGCTCATAAGTTATTTTAGGTATACTATACTTGTTCTATTTAGAACTAAAAAAAAATTGGTATATGTAAGTACCTATTTTTTCGGTTTTCTTGTAAAATTTCGAGGTAAGTTTAGATTTTATTTTCTATCGTGATCATTTTTAGCAATCATGTTTTCACACCGTATAGTAATCAGAGTATACCCTCAATTTTGCTACATATTTTTCCAAATTAATTAATTGAACACTTTCAGTGTTATGCTTAATGAACCAAAGCCATTTGAGTTTGTATAGACTCTTAGTAACGTAAACAACGTAAGTTTAGAATGGTAACATGACTAGACTTTCTCGTTGCATTGTTGTGTTTTTGTTCTATGATGCGCAACAGGATACCAAAAGAAGTTTTGATGGAAAGCGAAAATTTTCCTACAAAGATTTTATAATCATTTTATATCATTTTTATATATATTTTTATGTAGTTAACTAAGAGTGAAATTAAAACAAAAATAGTGTTTTGTTCATTTTTCTTACAAACAAACCTTACGTGTGTTGACTTCTTCCAAACACTCCAATAAAACGCCGTATTAACCAAACTGATTTATTAAATTATCTATTCCTCCAACATATTAGACATATTAGAACTTTTAAAATATACTCAACAAAATTTGTAACCACAAAATACCGTTATAATTCCTGACCAATCTAACTTTAACATAGACACGAATGCATAAATTTTTCTTTCACTTAAAGACATTGCCTCGTAAATCCCTTCTTTTTCAATTCCCGCCATTTTTCGCAAGTAGGGAACTTTAAAAGCAATGTCATTGGCTAGTCGAACCGGTAGATAAAGTGTTCGGACCAATCACAATCAAGACCGACACGCCATCTACACGGTAACATTTCGGAAACCTAATAATATCAATTAACAAACTTTTTAAATTAATATATGGAATAAGCTTATTAACCCTTATAATATTTAAATAAATAATAATGAAAATATTTTTTCTATTTTACGATTATATATTTCTTACACGCGATAGAAAAAATCTAGTGTTATTCTTGAAAATGTGCATAAAAATTGGTTAACAACAATAAATCGTCAAAATGTTTTATGTATATAAAGATAATATGTACAAGTAGCAGTAGAACTCCTTGTGAATGAGTTCGTCCAGAGAGGTACTGCCACCTTACCTATTTCTGCCGCCAAGCAGTAATGTCATCATTACTGTGTTCCGGTTTTGAAGGATAAGGGTGCTGGTGAAATTACAGGCACACGGGACTTGTCAACTTATGTCTCAGGGTGACGGGTGCATTGGCAGTGCCCCTCAGACCTTTGCGATTTAAAGCTTTGAGTGACACTGCAACTGTTATGGACAGGCGTGTAGCTTACCATCAGGCGCACGACTTGTTCGTCCCGTCACTTGATATTATAAAAAAAACACGCAAGTGGTTAAAATACATTAAAGACTTAAATATTAGCACCAGGGCTGAATGTTGGTAGTGTTCACCCGTTGTATATCTATGCAAATATGAGCTTCTATGTCTCGCAATCTGTCCATTAACTTTTAACGTATCATTTTAAAAGTTTTGCCCGTAAACTTTATTGTCATCGAAGAAAAAACGTGCATGTGATCACAGTTATACTTTGCAATTCTATCGCATGATACATTCGGTCCATTTCTATTTAAATTCTATGGCTTTATGCACTGAACAAGTCTCAGTGAGCGCTATTTTTCCGCTCTAGTTCCCGATTTAGTTTATCTCCGTTTGTTTTGGTTTATATTGAGTATATGAAAAACAATGTTAACCAAAATTATGTTATAATTATTAATACAAAGTTTTTTTTTATAATATCAAGTGACGGGAAAACAAGTGCCTATATTTCACCAGCACCTTCAAAACCGGAAGACAGTATTGCTGACATTACTGCTTGGCGGCAGAATCAGGTAAGGTGGCAGTACTTCCCTGGACGAATTCTTTCACAAGGAGCCCTTTCGCTATTAACAACGAATACTTAGAAAAAATTCCTTCGATTCAGCTGGATTCGAACCAAAACGTCTTAAAACGTCTCACGTCTTCTAGCAAACAGTGCCAGACGCTATGCCAACTAAACCACTGAACGAAGCAACGAATCTTTCTATGTTCTTGTTGCAGGTCTTTGTTTTGATTTTTTAGCAATTATTTCACTCTATTTTTAAATCTATTTCTTCACTAACTTACAAAATTATATTGTTCGGTAACTCATATATTATTTATATATATAGGGTTTTTCAACAACAATTGTGTTTTGTAAATCAAAAAATTTTGATGACAATGATCAAATTTTTATTGTATTAAAAAAAGTAAGATTTGCCAATTATGAATGAAAAATGATATCTGATAAATGTCCACCACGACCATAGTTATAGATGTCGATTCTTTCATCAAAGTTTTTAATCACTTTTTTAATGGTTTCGTTAATTCACTTCACGAATTTTGAGTTTTAAAGCTGCTATCAACTCTATTGGCTCCGTGTAGACTCTGTCTTTAACATAACCTCATGAAAAATAATCCAGCGATGTTAAATCACATGAATCGACATCTGTAACTGTGGTCGTGGTGGACATTTAACAGATATCATTTTTCATTCATAATTGCCAAACCTTACTTTTTTTTAATACAATAAAAAATGGAATCATTGTCATCTAAATTTATTGTTTTATTTTGATTTACAAAACAAAGTTCTTGTTGAAAATGCATGGTGCAATAACGGAGTCATACTAAAATTAATATTACGGCTTACAGATTAAACGTTACATTTGTTAAACACCTTTCTTCACACTCATAATCAAATAGACTGCACTTGTGTCTTAATATGTCCAGACAGCCCAACGACTCGCCAATGTCTACTCCACACCAGAAGACATAGACCTCTGGGTGGGTGGTTTGCTAGAGGAACCAATAGAAGGCGGTGTGGTGGGGATTACATTCGCGCAGATCATCGCTGACCAGTTCTCTAGGTTGAAAAGGGGTGATCGTTATTTCTATGAATATGGACCTAATGTCAATCCTGGAGCTTTCACCCCGAGTAAGTAATGGATATACAAATAATGTCAATTATGTTCCTTACTTAACTGCATCCATGGCCTTACAACTACAGAAGTAAACATTGCAGAGTTATCATAGTCACTTAATGTTTATTCACTGTATTATTCTTAAATATCGGAATAATACAAGAATTGATTCCAGTTATGTTCCACAACTTAGATTTTAAATTTTTAAACATCGTCAAAGAGCCAGTGTAAACCGACGGACACTAAACAGAGGACACTAAATTTATCAATGTTTATTTTATGCTATTTCAATTGAAATAAGGTATAAATTTCAATGCTCTGACACCGACCGGAGTATCGTATCGCATTTCTCTCTGCGGTATTGAAAAGCATGCTAGATGATACCGCTGTGGGAGGCGGTCCACCACCGGTATGAACCGGAAACTTTTGACTGCATTATCGCTTCTAAAAGGGATTAAAATCCGAGCGTCGGGTGGCATATTGGTGGATGCCGCTGCATTCCAACGGACTTTACCGTACACTGGTGGACTCTCGCGGTCTCGTAAGGGATATCCCTTATCAGTGTCACCATCTAAAAAACTTTTTTTTATATAATACCAGGTGACGGCACGATCAAGTCGTGCACCTGGTGGTAAGCGACACGTCTATCCATAACAGTTACAGTGCCACTCGAAGCTTTAAATTGCAAAGATCTAAGAGGCACTGCCACTGCTCCCGTCACCCTGAGACATAAATTGACAAATCCCATGTGCCTGTAACTTCACCGGCACCTTTACCCTTCCGAACTGGAATGCAGTAACGATTACATTACTTGTTGGCGGCAGAAATAGGTAGGATGGTAGTACTTCCCTGGCCAAACTCTTTTACAAGCTTCTCTACATACATATATTCGTATAGTATTTGACTCGTTTGATCTTTTTTAAATGAATATTGCTTTACTTTACTAGGTCAACTGGAAGAAATAAAGAAGGTGTCATTATCACGTATTGTGTGCGACAACAGGGATGGCATTGAGTTATTTGCACAACCGCCTAACGCCTTCCTCAGAGCTGACCTTCCGGAGTAAGTTCCATAGTTATTTTATCACTTCAACTTAAAGAATAAGCACGCCGACATTTCTTTAGCATTTTCTATTTTCATTTGCTATGAGGCTTATGGAAGACTCAGAATTAGTGGAGGGTGAAGCTGCAGAGCCTTGAGCGCCGCCGTAAAGTTGCCTGTTTATCACTATTCTACAGGATATATCACGGAGAGTGTGTAATGAACCGGGGGACTAGATGCGGGCTGGGGTTCCATCCCTATGTTAGGCTATTACCAGGATTCCCAAAAAGAGTTTCGCTTTCACATTTATATGGCGTGCGGTTAGAGAGTGAAATTCCTTGTCCGCGGACTGAGGCGAGAGTGAATAGGCATTAATTAGGTGTGCATGCTACATCGTCTCCCTCATCGCCACTTAGGTGAGAGGGTGGTCACATGCGCACTTATATTTTATATAAAAAATTTAAAAAAATCTTTACCTATAGTTAATTATTTTTTTACGACTAACAAGCCTGTGTATTCATGAACTTTTATATTGTAATTTATATGTATAAATACATTACTGTACTTCTAGGAATAAACCCGTGCCCTGCGACAGCGCTGCCATACCGGGAATGGATCTTAATAGATTTAAAATTCTTTAACTTTTAATAACTTTGGTTTCTAGCTTCAAATAATGTAACAAAAATATCAAATTGCTCTATAATAGAAAATAATTCCATGTTATACCGTAATTCTCAACTTAGTACAGAAAGAAATTGCGCAGTTTAAGATTTTGATTGTTTGGATGGAACGTTTTCAAACATTCTTTAAGCTTATCCGCTGTCAAAAGGAAACAGTATTGAATGTATTTTTGAATAGCAAATTTAGGTTAAAATTCTATAGCATTCATTTTTGTTTACTTCTTCTCTCTCTCAATTCTGCTCTTCTCTATTTTTTAAGCGTTGGCTTCTCGTACATACTTGCTTTTAATATTAATATATTACATTAGGTTGATTTTTTACAACAGCGATCTATTTCGTAATGGTTTTTTCTGATTTTGCATGTTTTGTAACCTATTGTACAAAAATTAACTGTTGTAATACATAGAACCAATTAGTTTCAATCTTCAATACACAATTAATGAAAGAACGACCTGTATATAGATAATTCATTTTAACATAAATCTTTTGACGTTTTCTTTACTTCTGTAGGAGAGGTTGTGGATTGTTGTTTGTATTTAATCGTATTCTGGATTCTCACTGAGGCCCGAACAGTGGGAGTTTAGAGTGAAAAAATATTGTACAAAACGTTAGAAGAATTATGTTTAATTGATTTTACATATTACAAGTATGTGCTCATGGAGTTTCCACGAAATTTTCTTTCTTATGAATAAATTTTTAGTTTCTTTTTTTTGCTATTTTATACACTGTAGTATTTTTCCTAAAAAACGTTATTGAATTTTATCTTAGATTATGGCATGGAATATGTACCTGATTCAATGATTTTTTCTCATAAAAAAGTCCAGGATTCGGGAGCTTGCTCAGTAGGATTTTTGACAATGGAAAAAGTTTATAGTCAAACAAACAAATTTTATGCGACTTAGGGTTGATTTCACCAAAGTGAAATAAGTCTTATTCCAACAATGATTTTGTTTCTCGATTGGCGTTTAGTTTTAAAATACAGGTCACGATCCGATGCAATCGTATCGATGGCGCTGGAATTACGATCTTAAAGTTGACTTTGCTAAGAAAAACATTAAATAAGATAATTGTAATCCAAGAATAAAACTTATTGGAATTTGGTGAAATTTACTCATAATCTTTTTGTACTACGTTGATGTTATCCAAGAATCGAAAATAACAAAAAAATGCCCAGTTTGTCTTCAAATGTCTTGTGTATTATACAGAAAATATGTTTACTATTATTCATTTAAATATTATGCGTTTTTCGACCAGTCCAGGGTTTATTTTATTAAGTAAATTCAATATAAATTTAAATAAATGAATAATATTTTATAAATGATAAGTGATAATGATGACATAATATGCTTCCTTTAGAATAGGTTTTAGCGTGTTTGTAAGAAGGTTTTATTTCGGGAGCAGGGCAATGAACGGTGGTGGTGGTGATAAAATACTTTGAAAATAATTACTATTCAATACAATATGGAGTTATTATCAAACTTAAATTTATTATTATGTCGCTTGAATGGTAAACTACACGTTACTACAAAATAAACAATGGATATTTATTTAATTTAAACGTGCCTTCTTGAAAAAATCTATAAATATTGCCTGTTTTATATTAGAGGACAATAAGCAGTAAAATATTGGTAAAATTAGGCAGCTTAAGTAACTATTTTGATCGTTGTAAAGATATTTTTACTACTTGTTAGTTATTTGGAACTCATTTTTACAGTTAGATATGTATATATAGTTTATAGCAACTACAGAAATATTTCTTGTGCATGAATGCATTAAAGTTTTATTTTTAAAATAATGAAATAAAAAATAAAATAATACCGTAAATATATTTATTTAATTACTTTAACTTGATGGTTTTGAATGAGATGTTTTTGTAAATAAATGTTGTTCAGTTAAAATAATGCAAATAAGTAGCCTATTATTGTAAGTTGTATTAAACAAAAATGTAGAAACTGGGCGGTGCACTACCGTGCTCCCAGCCTCGCATTAAAGGAACGAGCATTTATTAAGTAGATAAAACTTATTAATAAGCGTCTTTATGTTAAAGGCTTTTGTAGTTAAAATTAAGTAAACAGAATGTTAACAAAATAATATCGAATATTTTAATTATTTAATGTGTTGCATTATGTAATGTAAATTGTTTTTAATGTTGTTTGTAAATGTAAAGCCAGGAGCTCCTGATTGCATGTTTGATTGTAATTTAATAAATAAATTTGAAAGCAGTATCTATTTTTTTATTATTAAATTTTTTGTACATTGTTAATATTTTGTAACAGATAATTAAAATTGTAGAAAAACGAGCCCTCTTCCTTTTCCAATTCCGTTAAAATGTAAGGTTTAGCACATCACTTTGACAACATTTCGTGACATGTGTTTGTTTACATTTTGGGCATCTAATGATTTGTGCCGTGATTTCCTTCGCGGAATGTTTAAACAATTCTTCTGAAAAGTTGACATTTTCCAGACTTTGCTTTATTATATACACCTAGGGTTATTAAGAACAATTATCAAAGAGAACTTCACCCATTGAATTTGGGGAAGTATTACGTAGGTAATACTACTTAGCTCGAGAATACCTGAAAGATCTAAACGAGTCACTACCATAGATATAGAAAAAAAAGGGGAGATATGGTATCGGGGCGTGGTTCGTGTCGCCTCGAAATGGTCAAAATGACCATATTGAGGCGACACGCCTACAAACATCGCCACAGTGACATGGCGATCGTTGTACAATACATACAAGATCTCTCGTAAAACGTGAAAATGCGAAGTTGTAGCGTAACACCTTGTAAAAATTGAAGTGAAAACAAAAATTTTAAAACCAGTGAGATAACATTCCACCGGCTTACTATTTCTATTATTATTCAATGTTTTCTTTTTGTCTCCATAGAAATTTCTAGACTCAAATATAGTGATGTTCATTTACGAAGACTGATGTTTATCGACAATAAATTTTTACTGAAATGTTTGAATTTCTTACTATGATTTTTGTAATTAAAGTCCCTAAAATATCGAAGCGAAAATCATTCACGTTAAATTGATTTCTTTTCTTTTATTATTATTATTATTATTATTATTACTAAACATTTTATTTCGAGTATCTTTAACACAACTCATATTTCGGACAACCGTTTCAATTTCATGTCAATTTGGACGTTGCTGTTGCTTGAAGAAAAATTTATGCGTTTTAGATATTTAAGATATTTAAATTCCATTATACTCGTAGATTAAACGTAGAGTATTTTTAATTTTCAAATTTTTCCAATGAGTTCAAAATAAAAGAAGGTTGGATTGAAGCTGCAGGAAAATCGAAAGATTGGTTTTCTTATTACTATTTCTGACTTTGTTTCAATTGCCATAGCAAATGCATTTAAAAATAAATAAAATAAAATCGGCTTTATTTTACATGTACATGCAAAATAAATAAGAAACAATTATACAAAATTACATAAATCTTTCTTAAAAAAACAACATAATTTAATTTATTATTCGTTAATGGTTCGAGTTTACTCTTGACAGTGACAGCTTCACCATCCCGTGGTAACGTATAATGGAAAATTGACACTGGCGATTGTCGCCATATTTTTTATATTATTCTTATAAAACTGACACTGGTCCAATCCTAGTGGCCGCCATTAAGAAAATAATAATAATTTATATTAATATTTTAATTTAATAAAACACCAGTGCCAGTGTAGATATAATACGAAAAATGGAATATTTTTTTTATATTAAAAACAGCCACATGGTTTCCAAGTATCGATTAGGTAGGACTACATCACTCGTTGAGTAGCGTCAGTTTAAGGTTAATAAGGTTAACAATTCACGGAGCGGTTTCCATCCGCGCCCGCCGGTGCTGCCTAGACAGCGGTTTTATTTCAATATTCACGACCTTGCAAGTTTGTGCGGACACGTAGCTGCCGCGGTTGCGGGCACGAAACCGTTGCGATTGCGGAACGGACCGCGAAGTTAGTGGGAGTTAATTGCAAGTCGCGCGGTTAATAGAGAACTCACCCTGCGGGCACTTGCACCACATTGCGCCTGAACCGACCGCCAAAGTGTGCGAG